TGAGTGAGCGCCTTTTATAGCGCTCATTTCACTCTGAGATTGCGATCGACTGCGCGAGGCAGATCACTATGAGGAATAATTGATCAGTCACTAACATAACAGAAACAATCTTCTGAACGCAATGAAAACTGCTGTAAATAGCAGACCTTTGGCTCTACTCTTGTAAGACTATAACCACTAGAGAAGGATTTTCCAACTCGAATATCGCCAAAAGTTTTTCAGGAGACCTCCGATTTGAGAAGTAGTAATTTACTTTCAAGTGTACTAGAGTGGAGCAAACTACAATACCGCTCATAATTCGTCAAAAAAGTCGCCGGACTGCGGCGCACTCCGCCACACTCCACCACAGTGCGGCGGAGTGTGGCAGAGTGCGCCACACTCCGCCGCACTCTGCCGAAATGATCGTCAATTTAGCCATATCTCGCTTCAGAATGGACGAATTCTGAATCCGAGGACACCGTTCGATTCAGCTCGACGAGAAGCATCATCTTATATATGAAGCTGAACGTCTGTTTGTCTGTTTGTTTGTACGTATGTTAAGAATAGGAAAATCCATTTCTGAACCGATCCGGACCAAACTTGGCACACATACACTTCGGGCATCGGCGGGTGTCATAGGCTACTTTTCGTCATCGATCGATATCGATTTTATCGATTTTTATCGATTTTTTTGCAGAGTTCACATACGGGGCTGGGAGTTTGCATAGTGGGGTAATCGAGCATGGGGATTCCGAATACACTATTAGTTTTAAGGATTATCGATTACTTTTATCGATTTTATCGATTTTTTTGCAAAGTTTGAGCTACGGGGCTGGGAGTTTGCACAATCACAATGGTAATCGAGCATGGGGACTCCGAATACAATATTAGTTTTCAGAATTACGATTATTATTTTGGTTGAATTCAGTGTGCTGATAACAGTATTACCATTGATCTGTCGCTGATGACACATAGACAGTATACTATAGGAGTATGGTAGAGAGCCAATAAATATGAATATATTCCGAATCCAGAAGCAGCATTGTGTTCAGATCGTCGAGGCAAATATTTTGATATACAGTATGCTCTCGATATTCCATATTCCACTCTGATCGAATTTGTTCTAAGATCTGCTCAAGATCACAATAACGCGCACAGAATGTCAAAATTTCCGTGAACTTCGCGGAATTCTGGAATTTCCACCAAAGTGCGCGATAATCCGGGAAGTTCGCGACATTTCAGGATCCGCGAAACCATGCGAATCACACAGAGTACGCAACGCCATAACATCCTTTGGAATGAACATATTCCGAATCCAGAAGCAGCATTGTGTTCAGATCGTCGAGGCAAATATTTTGATATACAGTATGCTCTCGATATTCCATTTCCATTTTTTCGAAATTTTCTGTGGAGGTCTTTTCGCAAGGATGTAACGCAGCCTCTGTGTAATATAAAAGATTCCAGTAAGTACTGTTCGATAGTACTGTCCTTGTAGGTTATCGTGCGTTCAAGAGTAGCTGCAGATTGTCTCCCAAAAGAGACAGAAGCGTTGGTGGATTTTGGAAAAATCACGCGTTTCTAAATTCTGCTCGCCGTAACTTCCTTCGGAATGAACATATTCTGAATCCGAAGAAAGCTTTGTGCTCAGTTCATCAAGGCAAATCTTTCGATATACAGCATATCCTTGATATTCCAATTTCAATATTCTCAAATCTTTCTGTAGACGTCTTTTTGTGAAGGTGTAAAGCAGCGCGCATTGCTCCTAGTAGACTTCAGCAAGGACCTTTCGATAGTACTTTTTCTGTAGATTACGTAGCGCTAAAAAGTAGTCACAGGCATCTTTCCATAGGAGTTAGAAGGGCTGGTGAATTCTGGAAAAATCATGTCGTTCTAAATTTTTCTCAACGTAACTCTAAAATATGAAGCTCTCTTGCTAAGCAGATGTGATTTTCGTAATCAGCAGGTCGGATAACCCTTACAGGCAAGTTTTCCAAGATGTTCGAGTAATTTCATTTTTTCTCGTTTTACGCTCTGAAGCTGCCCGATGGATTTTGGTCAAAATGTTCATGCTCTTAAATTGTAAGGAAACTTCGCTTATAGAGGTTTTCGAACACGCTCTTTAGTACTCTGCGTTGATACAGGGTCTTCTTGGAGAGATACGGTGAGGTGACTGTAACTGCATCACGAAAGCTCGTAACTTCGCCTCCACCTCTAACGTGTCTGTCAAAGAACCTGCCTGCTTGCTTTACTAGTCAAAGTTACTAGGAGAAGTACTCTGCGTTGATACCACTGCTT